GGGGGGCCCCTGGAAGGATCGGGGAGGCATTTAAATGCCTCCCTGTGCCTTCCTTGGCCTGTCTAAGGGTCGGCTTGCCCGGGCTCCACAAGGGAAGGCACGATGGTATGGCCTAATATGCTAATGTGCTGCGCTGTCAGGGGTGTGGCCTAATATGCTAGTGCGTTTGTGCTGTTGGGTGTGGCCTATTAGGCTAATGAGTTCCTGCTGGGCTTTTTCCACAAAAAAAGGCTCTGCCTGGGAGTGTGACCAGATGCTGAGTTCATGCCACAATGTAAACATTTCCAAGTGGCTAAATGCTATTAGCCCACTCAAAATTTTACTCTCCTGCCTATTTTAGTTACTTTAGGTCTAAAAGAGAAAGAAGTGATTTTTTTTTGAAAGCTTCCGTTTATGGTTGCCTGGAGAAGACGAATTCACCACGGATGACCAGGCAAACAGCTGCTTACAGGCCTGCTGTTAAGTGCCAGCAATGGCGCACACAAAAAACAACAACCCCAAAACCAGAGAAAACCATGTGTCACAATAGTAATCATTAGGGTCACAGTAATAAATACTCTTTTACAACATTAGCAATTGCATACATTAACCATTGCAATAACATGTGCCAAAATCCTTGCAACTGAAAAAAAATTTGCTATGAAATTGTGTTGTAAGAAATAGGCAAGCTGACCAAGGAGTAGACCCCAAAAGAGACAGAATTGCTGGCTATACTCCTGTTTCAGTATAAATCGTCAGTTGTAGGAAACCTTTTATAATCAATTTGGAAGACACAATTTCCAAAAACTAAACAGTGGTATACAGTGCAAACATCAAGACTTCCATCTTCGTCAGTCACATGACCTTGCGTTGGTAAGTTTGAAGATCAGAGGCACTGTGCAGGTATCCAAGAGATAAGCAGTAGGGTTTCATGTCCAAACGATAATTGCGGAACACACATTCACCTTCCAGGAACTGCCGAAGGGAAAGTTTTTCTCCCCGGCCGCTCTTGCTCCTGCAGACCGACTTAAAGGCTTCCGTCAGCCTCCGGGCTGGAAACCATTATGTTGTAACACAATCAGAATTAAGTGTTATTTTTTTAATGGCGGAAGTCTTCAAACTGCGAATGAAGAATGGGGGGAAAAAACATTGCTGAATTTGTGGATTCGGAAAACACGGGGTGAGGGGACGCAACATTTGCATTTACTCCTGGGGAGGCGCAATTTTTGTGCAGAAACTTTTGCCTAGCCTGATTATTTAAGAACGCCGATGTGGGGGCTGGCTCCGTTGCGGAAATGATCTCTATCTGGGAACCATTAAAAACTCAAAGTTCCTGGGAAGACACAAGAGCATCGTAGCACAACACATTCTAATGCCCCCCCAATACCTCTTTGACATCACAAAAGTATTGTTTCCTATGGAGTTAAGCAGAGGAAGGAAAATACATACGTTATAGCCAGGCCCAGACCGTCATTAAAGTGTCGAATTCTCTGCCAAATAATTTTAAGTAAATGAAAGCATTTGGGATTGCTTTCCTTACTTTGTTTGGATCACCTTAAGTTAATGTTATGAGTTGTTTTTGCTAAAGTAAAACCTCAGCATTCAGGTTAGATTGCCGTGTTGGCACTTTGCGATCAATAAGTGGGTTTTGGGTCGCCGTTTGGGCACTCGGTCTTTAAAAGGTTCGCCATCACTGCCCTGTGCCATCCTATAGCATGCCTATGGCTTAGCACAGGGACTGATTTCGCTCTCTTCCCCTGCAGCCCACTGACCTGCACAGCTAGGCTCCACCTGGATCCTGTGATCCCAAGAATCAGCTTTCCTAAGGTTGGAAGGGACTGCCGGTGTGTGTGTGTGTGTGTGTGGATACTGGGTAATATCTGTGACCATGAGAGTCTCCCACTCAGGGCCGGCTCGCTCACTAGGCAAACTAGACGCTCGCCTAGAGCGCGCTGGCCCTTAGGGGCACCAAACTGGAACCCGCCCCCACGCTGTCCTGGTTCAGCTGCAAACACTACTGAGTATTAAAGTGTGGAATTCTCTGCCAAATAATTTTAAGGAAATGAAAGCATTTGGGATTGCTTTCCTTACTTTGTTTGGATCATCTTAAGTTAATGTATGAGTTGTTTTTTCTAAAGTAAAACCTCAGTATTCAGGTTAAATTGCCGTGTTGGCACTTTGCGATAAATAAGTGGGTTTTGGGTCGTAGTTTGGGCACTGGGTCTCTAAAAGGTTCGCCATCACTGCCCTGTGCCATCCTATAGCATGCCTATGGCTTAGCACAGGGACTGATTTCGCTCTCTTCCCCTGCAGCCCACTGACCTGCACAGCTAGGCTCCACCTGGATCCTGTGATCCCAAGAATCAGCTTTCCTAAGGTTGGAAGGGACTGCCGGGGTGTGTGTGTGTGTGGATACTGGGCAATATCTGTGACCATGAGAGTCTTTCACTGACAGCCCCTCCTGACGGATCCAACCCCAGGTAACTCAACGGGGGCTTTACACGGCAGCTACACCATGGCAATGGCAGAGTCTTCGGCACTGCTTTCCTGGTCCAGGCCCACTCGCTGGATGGATTCTCTGTATTTCTGCCTTCCCAGGGAGACGATAGCTTCGATCTCGTCTGCTATGTCTTGGCGGCCGCTCTCCTTCATGGTGCTGATCAGCCTGTCTATGCAGCCAGGGGTCCTTCTATTTTGCTGTGCCCAAGAAAAGAGCATATCCAGAATCTGAGCTCTGAGGTCTTCCCTGAGGGGGGGAAAAAAGAAAATTGGGGAGCAGCAAAAAGGGCATCATCAGCAGCACACATGAGCAGAGATGTATTTAAACTCAGCCTTTCCATATACTCCAAGCAGCTTAGACTGATTTTAGGTAAAAGTAAAAAAGCCAGTTGAATCCGACTCTAGGGTTGCGGTGCTCGTCTCCATTACCAAGCCGAAGAGCCAGCGCTGTCCGAAGACGTTTCCGTGGTCATGTGGCCGGCATGACTAGACGCTGAGATGCACGGAACACTGTTACCTTCTCACCTATTTATCTACTTGCAATTTCTTGCTTTCGAACGGCTAGGTTGGCAGGAGCTGGAACTAGAGACGGGCGCTCACTCCGTCATGCGGCACACTCGGGTCTCGAACTGCTGAACTACCGACCTTCCAGCCTGTTGTTCAGCATCTTAACCACTTAGGAGGATGCTAAGGTATACCACAATAATAACACCTATTTCATTTTCACAACAACAGCAAAAACCACTGCGACGCACTAACTCATCTAGCAGCCCACGCAATTTCAGCACGTTCAAAACGGCACGAGAAAGCAAAATACATACTGTTAGATCTAGAAGCATCGGCAGAATTCTAAGCAAGTCTATTTCTACTCTAAAATCCCATAAAAGCTAAGCCCTTATGCACATGAATAGAAAAAAGACTGGAAATTCACAACCTTTTTTTGTCTGGTGCTCCAAGTAGATAAATAGGTACCACTTTGGTGGGAAGGTAACAGCGTTCCGTGCGTCTTGGTGTTTAGTCATGCCGGCCACATGACCACGGAAACGTCTTTGGACAGTGCTGGCTCTTCAGCTTTGAAACGGAGATGAGCACCGCAACCCTAGAGTCGGATTCGACTGGCTTTCGAGCAAGGGAACCTTTACCTTATTATCCTCAGTCCTTGGGTCTACATACATACTTCCAACAACCCAAATATTATAGTCACATCTTTCATTCTGCACTCCTTCACAGGGGCTGGATCTGTTACAGGGGGTGGGAGAAAAAGGGAATCTAACGTCTCCAAACAAAGAAGCCGTTAAATGTATGCCTTGCCTTATGGGCTTAATTATTTAATTATGCCTTATGTGCTTAATTATTTGTTTATGCATATTTCTGGACACAAAAAAACTAGAATTCCTGCTCTAGGGAGAGGGGCCTTTCAGGGCTGCCAAGAGCCACCGTGGGCCACAGACAAAGATTCCACCTGGGCCCCCTTGTATGACCCTGATCCAAACTGGATATCGTAACAAAACCAATCGCTTTGCTTGCTGTTACCATGAATCTATAGTCGTAACAGAATCAGCCTGTCTGTCCATATATGTCCATTTATACCAGGTATATCTCATCAGAGAATAAAGCTAGGAAATTAAAAATCGGCCACCCACTTCAGGATGATTGTGGGAGTTCTAGGGCCGAAACAGACAGGCATGGGAATATCCTGGCCCAGGTGAGACACCCACCAATGCTGTTTGCCATGGAAGCGAAGGATCTCCGTGGCAAGCTTAACACATTAGAAAAGTTTTAAAAACTTGCCACCAACTTCAGGACGATGGTGGGAGTCGCGGTGCCAAAAATAAAGGGAATTGGAACACCCTGAACCATGATAGGGAGCAAGTAATAACAGAGATTTTAAGTAACCTGTCTCTAATACTCAGGTCCGCAACAGAATGTACTATACTACTATTAAGTACAGTCTGTTGCCCTGCGGGATAGGGTTGAGTCTGCAGACTTGAAAATAAATGGGACATGGAAAAATTCGGTAGAGGGAGAATATGAAGAGTGGAAAAGAGGGAGAGAAATTAAGAAAAGGAGAGGGAAAGGGTGCTTTACACACTAGCTACCACTACGCTTCAGTCCTGCACAAAGGCTACTCTAGCCAATAAGAGTGCCTTTTACTTTGCTCAGGCTTCCCTGTGCCCCTAGTGGTTGCGGGAAGGAAAATCACTGGAAAGGGATGTGGCTGGATGCAGCATGATGCCGACTTCAGGGCCCCCCCTCCAGCTGCCTCGGGCCCTCCCCAAATTTTGTCCCCCCCCAGTTGGCAGCCCTGGGCCTATTAAACAAACTCCTAAGGATACCATCCTACACCCACCCCTGGTAAACCACTGAGAATGGTTTCTCAATATCATAATGCCCCTATATAAATCAATGGTGCGACCTCATTTGGAATACTGTGTGCAGTTCTGGTCACCACACCTTAAAAAGGATATTATAGCTTTGGAAAAAGTGCAGAAAAGGGCAACTCGAATGATAAAAGGGTTGGAACACTTTCCCTATGAGGAAAGGTTAAGGCGCTTAAGGCTCTTTAGCTTGGAGAAACGACGACTGAGGGGTGACATGATTGAGGTTTATAAGATTATGCATGGGAAAGAGCAGGTAGAGAAAGAGGTCCTTTTCTCCCTTTCTCACAAGACAAGAACTCTGTGGGCACTCCATGAAATTGCTGAGCGGTCGGGTTAGAATGGATAAAAGGAAGTACTTCTTCACCCAAAGAGTGATTAACACTTGGAATTCACTGCCACAGGAAGTGGTGGCGGCTACAAGCATGGCCGGCTTCAAAAGGGAATTAGATAAGCATATGGAGCAGAGGTCCATCAGTGGCTATTAGGCACAAGGTATAGATAGGGACTCTGGGGCAAGGGATGCTCTGTCATCTTGGTGCTTGGGGGGGGGCAACAGTGGGAGGGCTTCTAATGTCCTGGCCCCACTGGTGGACCTCCTGATGGCACTGGTATTTCTGGCCACTGTGTGATGGGTCTTTGGGCCTGATCCAACATTGGTATCTCTTATGTTCTTAATGAAAGGGAGCCGAATAGGGGTTCTCAGTACTGTGACGATCCCTTAGCGCCCCCCCCCCCAGTATTCTAATGCACTCCTCATTTTAAATTCCTACGGTTTCCTTCCTCACCTGTTATTGTATCTTATCTGCTGGATCTGCTGATAGGAGAAGCCCAGATTCAAGCCAATCGTTTGCCATTCAGCTCCGATGCGTCCCGCAATGCCGAGCAGATTAGATTGTGTCAAGTATCCAGTTTCAGCACTCCCCAAATTCAGAGGAGGGAGAGAGAAGCCATTTTTGGCTGTAGGAAGCTCATTCCCCTGAGATTTCAGTTTCTGTTGGAACAGAACAGTTACTCTGTTAATCACGATACATAAAAATGCAAGTCTTCAAAAGCCTGGACTGAACATTGTGAGACCAAAGTTAACTGGACAGTCAACGGCCAACTCTTCATCAGAGCCTTCAGCTGAAGGGGAAAATGATACTGCTTTCAGTGAGCTGGACATTTTTTCTCATCATGGAACTATGGTATAAAACTAAGGATGTAAGCAATCCCTCACAGCTCTTCCACAGGAGCCCTGGGAAGTCCAGCACAACTAATCTGTCGTCCTTTTTAAAATCTGTAAATGGGGAGAATAATCCTTTGCTCCCACTCCCGTTCTACAAATTTAGCTGCTAATTCTTCAGAGACTGTAAAATCTTTCCCTGCTTAGCTCATAAAAAATATGGGACTCAGCAGCAGTGTTCCCTCTAAGCTGAGTTAGTGTGAGCTAGCTCACAGTTTTTTAGCCTCCAGCTCACACCTTTTTGTCTTAGCTCAGGAAGGACGGCTCCAGAGCAAACTAATTTGTGCAGTAGCCAAATTGCCGACTCACAACTTTAATGCCAGTAGTTCACAAAGTAGAATTTTTGCTCACAAGACTCCACAGCTTAGAGGGAGCATTGCTCAGCAGGAGTTTTGACCTCCAACCACAACACCGACAATTATTCTAGACAACCTTCCTCTCTGCCTTTCATTTTAATCAGCAAATAATGAAAACTCCATGTTCCCTTTGTCGATAACATTGGCACCATTAACTACACTGTGGAGCATCATTAAATGGATTTAGCCAAGAACATGTCCAGGCAGTGAGAATGGGAAAAGATGAAAAATGCTTCTCATTATACAGAATCCCTGGAGAGAAAATCTCTATGGTGGTAGAGAACTAAAGGCAAAACTTTTGAATTGGTATTATATTTAAAAAAACTGGGCTTTAGCACAATATATGAGAAATGGAGTCATATAACTAATTATTGCCTACTGCTCTTTCTCACATTCTGACAGATGTCCATAATTTTGCCTTCTGTGCCCTAAGGAAAAGAGAACAGAAGGCTTGTGGAGGGGAGGAATGACACAAATCATCTTTTCAGTGTGGGATTTAGACGTGAGGCCCCTTATCATACTGAGAGAACTCGCCAAACATGAACATCAGAAAAGTGAAGGTACCATATCTTCAAGCCTAGCTCCCTCCGTTTTATTCCCTGACGTGCGATGGCGCCTGTAATTCCCATGACAAAATAAATAGAAAGCAATATGGAAAAAAAAATCAGAACCATCTCCGATCTGAATGATCTTCAGCGTGCAGATCAAAAAAAAAACCCTGCACAATGTGGCTGGGCACAGAAAGGGGAGATGTTTCTAGAAATCTGAGGAAGACCCTTAGGCTTGCATTGAAATCTTAAATTTAAAAAAAAAGAAAGAAAAAATAAAACTAAACATCCCCACCCCCGGGTCAAGTTCTTGTGAGCAATGTTCCCTGTAAGCTATGGAGCTCTGTGAGCAAAAATTCTACTCTGTGAGCTACTGGCATTAACGTTGTGAGCAGGAGATTTGGCTGCTGCATACATTAGTTTGCTTTGGAGCCCTCCTTCCTGAGCTGAGACAAAAATGTGTGAGCCGGAGGCTAAAAACCTGTGAGCTAGCTCACACCAACTCAGCTTAGAGGGAACACTGCAAGTTGTGAGATTACCTCATAAGATCTCAGCAGTTTATTTAGGGTTATGTAGGCAAATCTGGTTGCCTACATAACCCAAAATGGCTACTGCAGTTTTATTTTGAAATCTATGATGATTGGGGGGCAAAGGGGGCAAGCGGGGAAAGAAGTGGAGAGGAAAGGGGAGAACCTGCATAGAAGGCAGACGGAACAGTTGGAGGAAAAGTGGCAGGTAAGAGTAGGAAACTGAGAAAAACAGGTGGGAGGGAAAGAAGCAAGGAAAGAGAAAAGTGTGGGGTCTGTGGAGGGAGCGGGAAAGAGCTAATAGCATGAAGGACAGGACCAATGGAAGGCGCACACACACACACACACACCCCAGTGAGACTTTGCAGGTTCCTTGCTCGCTTAATAGTTTTATCTCTCTGGGGATACTACAGACATGCAAATACATCAAATATGGTATGATACAGTCCTAAATGGTCACTACTGCCTCCCAGTGGTCCCAACTTTTTGAAATAAAAAAAGGATGTCTCCACTTTCCTTTCTGAAATGTTTGGAAAAGGCTTCGTTTGTAATCCCTTCCAGTTTTGCCACGCTACTCCCCCCCTCCCCCATGTAGTCAGGACCAACGCTCCCTCTAAGCTGTGGAGTCTTGTGAGCAAAAATTCTCCTTTGTGGGCTCCTGGCATTAAAGTTGTGAGCGAGCGATTTGGCTGCTGCATAAATCAGCTTGCTCCGGAGCCCTCCTTCCTGAGCGAAGACAAAAATGTGTGCGCCGGAGGCTAAAACACTGTGAGCTAGCTCACACTAACTCAGTTTAGAGGGAACAGTGGTCAGGACACGAGGATTGCTGTCTTTCTTACTGCTTATACTTAGTGCGCACTGCTACAGACAATGTGAAGAAAATAGATGCAGTCTTTTCTGGCATAAAGCACATGAGCAGAGACAGGGGGGAGAAAAAGAGGGTAACTTAATCCAGCCTCGCACACTCCATTGCCCCTTGAGGAATGATTGCCGACTTACAGGCAGCTTGATTGGCAGAGTCGCAAGCCAATGGGAGTTGGGGCCTTTCCTCTTTTTGGCAGCCTCTTCAGGAATGTTCTCTGGAACAGCTCCCCGATAAAAGGAAACCTTCACAAAAGGGAATGTCGTGAGGTGTGCGCAGATTTACAGCGACCAAATCGGTTTGGCAAGAACTGTGTTTTTCCTGGTTTATGACAACACCTTCATTCAGGATGCCACTTGTCGTTTCAGATCAATAGCTCATCACAAGTTCTGGCACTTTATCCCGCTTTTGCTAGTATATTGGACTAAGGTAGTTAAAGGTAAAGGTTCCCTTGCTCGAAAGCCAGTCAAATCCGACTCTAGGGTTGCGGTGCTCATCTCCGTTTCAAAGCCGAAGAGCCAGCGCTGTCTGAAGATGTTTCCGTGGTCATGTGGCCGGCATGACTAAACCCCAAGGCGCACGGAACGCTGTTACCTTCCCACCAAAGTGGTACCTATTTATCTACTTGCAATTTCTTGCTTTCGAACTGCTAGGTTGGCAGGAGCTGGAACTAGAGACAGGAGCTCACTCCGTCATGCGGCACCTTCGGGTCTCGAACTGCTGAACTACCGACCTTCCACAGCTTGCAGTTTAGCGTCTTAACCACTTGAGCCACCGCAGGTAGTTAAGGGCACCTAACTACAGCCACCTTCCCATTACTAAAGATTCCTGCTACACTTTCTCAGTCAATAAGCCAACAGCCAGCGTTGCCATGCAATCATTCAACTAAACATAATTTATACCCATGTTTTTGGTTTGCTGGAACTAGCTATATTTGCATGGTTCCTTGTGAACCAAACCCTGAATTTCTGCAGAGGTACAAGTAAGTGTATTCATATATCAGGATGGGGGAAGATAATGGAGGCTATGAAAAAGGGACCCATCCCCCTTTTTGTAGTTCGTGTCTGCATGTTTTCAAATGCATCTTCAAAACCATAATGCACAGAAATCAAGTTTTGGGGGGTTTGGTTGTTTTTTTAAAAGTTGGGATTCTTGACATTTTGGTTTAGGTGCCAGATCCTGCACACGTTCTTTTACAGACGTCCAGATTCTTTCACATACACAGAGCACAATTCAGAGAAATAAAGGGGAGTTAATCAGTTAATCAATATGATTTATCTGCACTTCTCTTTTGAAATATATCCAGGGAATCACAGAAAATGAAAACTGAATGGAGAATCATTAGGAAATGCATAATATGGAAAGTTATGGATCTGTTAATATATCATTTTACTCAGGGGTCATTTCGTAGAAAAAGAGGTGCAGGAGCTCATTAGCATAACTCATTTGCATACACCACACCCCCTGACATCACCGGAAGTGTGTCAGAAGGCAACATCCACCGCTCAGGCTCCACTGGACTGTTTTGGATTGCTAGCTATTGGGGGGGGGGAGAGAACGTGCAGATCTTTCCTCGCAGAGGAGGGAGAGCTTGTACCTGAATAAAACTTGGTCTTAAAGGTGCCACTGAACTGTTTTGGACTGGGGGGCCGGGGGGAGCTCTGTAACCTACCTGGCTGCTTCTTGCTCTGACTGAGGGCTGATGGGAGCAGGGGGTGGGGCTTGTTGCATGTGCCCACCCCCTGGGCTCTTTACTGCCGGAGCTCCGCTCCTGTGCGCTCCTGCAGGAAATGACCCCTGATTTTACTATATATTTCATGGAATAACTTGCAGAGAGCAAAATGTGTAAAACTCATGTACCTGCCCTTTCACAGCTTCGTTTTTTCTGTCCACTTCCGAAGTAATATAGACTTCCTTCACGTTTTTCAAGTGAGAGTAAAAGCTGAATGAAATTCTTCCATCAATGCAGTCTGGGCGGTCTAAGTTTAGGTTGGAGACAATAAATATATCAAACAATCCGCAGAGAATTGAAGACACAGAATGCCAGACTGATATTTCTAGTGTACCAAACATTATTGCACTGTCAAATGTCAAATATGCTGTTGTGCCGGCAGCTTATCTGGCTTCTTTGGAAATAAACCGTTTTAGAAGGGCCTTCGCCTTGGCAAGGAGTTCTGCACTCCCCTCTGCAGTGCTTGAAGGCAGGTATAGGAAAATCCCCTACCTTGAAAGATTATGTACTTGTCCATTAAGGGAGGTCGAGTCCATCGAGCATATGTTGTTTAGTTGCCCATATTATAAAGAGGCTCATTTGGAGATTATTACTCCATTGCTAGATAAGATTCCTGGTTGCACAAACAAAGTCGAGCTTGACTGTCTTTTATTGGAGAAGGACTCTAAGATCACTTATCAAGTAGCTAGATTTTGTGCATTGATACAGAGGTTACGGAAGCTATCTTTTAAATAGGTTTTAAATGTAAATCTTTTATTTTTGTATATTTTGTACGCTGTATGTTTCTAAAATTTACTATTATAACTACATATATGTGGCTGGTCTAGCGACCGTAATAAATTCTACCACTACTATCCAACAATCACCTTAATCCATTGGGTTGGATCAAGTAGAAAAGCTTACAAAACATGTTGGCAGACTGGGTATTTGTCCTGAAAATCCCCTTTGAAAGTTAGGAGAGCCATGCAAACAATGGATCACAGCATGTTGGACAGGATCCAGATCTAATAGGAGCAGCCAGTTAAAGAACGGAAGAAACTCTATGGACTCCCACACCTCTTGACAAAAAATGTACACAGACCTAAGCAGTGCTACCACAAATAATACTTGCTACACCCTACACCTGCTGCCACCACTGATGCAAGCAGCCTTCTCATTCCCCAGAGACAAATGGCTGCATTATGTACCAGCTAGACAGTGCAAGTAACTTATCTAGATCCTAGATCCATCGGAGTGAACGGGCAGCAACAAGCCATGTATGTTTCTCTTAAGAGAATGCCTGCCCAGGAATTTCCTCTTAGTGCCACACCAGAAATGAGGGAGCAGTTCTTCAGAAAAGCATACATGTTCTGGTGCAGTAGAATTTCATATTTTCAGCTACATGGTCACCATTCCCCTCACTGCTACTCAGATGGCCAAGTGAATACAGTATACACCTGTGGCTTCATGTGTGCTCCTCAGGGCTCTTTTTGTAGAAAAAGCCCAGCAGGAACCCATTAGCATAATAGGCCACACCCAACAGCAGGAACTCATTAGCATATCGGGCCACACCCCTGACAGCACAGCTCATTAGCACATTAGGCTGCACCCCCATGTTGCCAGAAGTGTGCTCATCCAGCCACACCCACCTTTTGCTTCTTATTCTCTTTACCTTGTTCGTTGACAAAACCCAGGGCCTTTTTTGTAGCACGAACTCCTTTGCATGTTAGGCCACACACCCCAATGTAGCCAATCCTAATGAGTTCCTGCTGTTGGGTGTGGCCTATTATGTTAATGAGGTTCCTGCTGGCCGTGGCCAACGTGGGAGCCAGCCGGAACGCCGTTCCTGTGCCTTCCTGCCCCAAAATAGCCCTGGTGCTCCTGATCACTGAATCTGAGTCCAGTAGCACAAACAAACATTTCCAGGGTAGACGCTTTTGTGAGACAGAGCTCCCTTCATCAGACACAACCAGGGAACCTCTGATCACTGAAGGAGCCACATTGGGTAAGCACCTTAAAAGTCAACAGAACAGGTCAGAGGACAAGAGCTGGGTCTTTTGGGGTATAAAGCCAGCTTTACCGCACTTCACCTGCATCGATGTTGATGCCTCGTTCAAAAGCCGCAAAGAACTGCTCTCCTTCAAACATCTCCACCATGTCCGATGGTTCAGGCCCTCGGTATCTATCATGGAGTTTTCTCAAAACAGGATCAACCTATGAGATTGGGGGGGGGAGAGGAAATGACCCCTCGTGAATTTGCAACGCCAATTCATTTTGTAATCCGTTACACAGTTCCAGCGGAAGAACCTGGTTTTCCAAGAGGAAGGCTTCCTAAAGACCGGCTTAGACTCAAGGATGGCCG